CAGTACATAAGGATTCTCTTCCTCATGGGGAGCTGGTGCGTGCCCGTAGCACCTCAGTGGAATAAGTACTTCCCTGGCAAGCGCAAGGGCCTGAGTTTAATCCCCAGTTCTGGAAAAAAAAAAATTAATAAAATCTGGAAACAGTAGATTGGAATGAACTTGGTGGGATTCTAATAATTTATCCATGGGATTACAAGAGGTCTTTGGCCATGTGGGTAGAAAAGACACCACCAAATTGCAAAGGGTGGGTGGGGTCAGCAGGATGGGGGAGGCTATTCACTGAGGATGCCAGGAGCAGGACATGCAGGAGGAAATTAGGGACCACTGGATGGAGCCCTGGCCTCTGCCCTGAAGCCACCTCTGTGGTGACTGGACAGTGTCAGCCTACCTCTCCAGACCTGGGCCAGCCAAAGGTGACAGCCAGATGCGCTCTGGTCCCCCACCCCACCATCGCCTGACTCAGTTCCCTCTCTCCTGGGGAGAAAATCCCTGAAGTCACCTCCCAACGCTGTTCTCTTCCCAAACCCTGAGGAAAAATAGGAAGGAAAGGAACCAGGCTGGCAGGCAGGGGCACGATGTGGGCGTGGGTCACACAAAGGGCATGTGGACTGGGATCTCTTGCTAGCCAGCGACAGGTGACCCACAGGAAGCTGGTGTTGCAAGGTTAGAAGGGGGGGAGTCAGCGCTGTGTCTGCTGGAGTTTTTCTCTTTGCCTGCTGGCATTTTGCTTCAGCCTGCTGGCTGGTGCAGTTTGGGGGAGGTGAGGGGAGCTGGGGTAACCCCAGAGGGGCTCAGCTTCCCATGCCAAGTTCCTGAGTCACTCAGAGCCAGAGCTCAGTCGGCTCCCAGGTGAGGCCCCGGGTCCAGCTGGCCCCTGAGGATTTCCTTCTTGATCTTACTCATCCTAAATCTGAGGCAGCATGGCGTGGTCACCCTCAGGCAAATGACACGGCATAGACAGTCATTCCTGGGGACACAGCTCTCTCCTCTGGACCTCGGTAAACTCCTCCATCTCCAGGCTCACCTTGGTTCTACTTTTTTTTTTGGCAGAACCAGGGACTGAACTCAGACCTTTGCGTTTGCCAGGGAAGCGCTTATTCTACTGAGCCATCTCCCCGGCCCCCTCACCTTGGGACATTTGCCCAAACTGGAACTGGGCTGTCCTCACCCTCAGACGACCTCAGGTGGCACTGGCCATGACAGGCGGGGCTCCTTGTCCACCCTGCTGAGGGCCACAGTGTCCTGGAAAGTACACTCAGAAAATCTATAAAGTTCAGAGGGATGTCCCCACCCTCTGCCTTAAACCAGATAAAACCTTGGCCCCTAGGCTCAGGCCAGCTTCTCCAGGCCAAGTCAGTGCCAGGCACTCAACATGGGTCACAGTGGCCTTGTTCTGGAAGCCAGGGTCTGTCCGTCCATCCGTCCTTCCGTCATTCTGTCTGTCTGTGTCTCTCTCTTTTTGCTCCCCCAGTTTATTTTGTTATGTACAGGCTGTAGAGGCCAGGGGCAGTGTGTGCTGGACAAGAGCTCTGCCTCATCCTGCGCCACACACCCCCTTATCAAATGAACCCCACACTCATCCTTCCAGGGGTACAGAACAGGGTAATGCTCTCTACTGGATGAATCCCTCCTCTCTGCAGAGCTCTGGCCAGTACCAAGCCTGCACTCAGCATCAGGAACCCGAGGAGCAGGAGAGAGATGGCTCCCTCTGGCAGAGCCACGGGGCCAGGCTGAGGCGGACAGTGAAGACCAAGGTCTCCAGGCTCCTCTCCCAGCACTGCGCTGAGTGAGTCCTGTCTCCTAGCTATAGAGGGCTACGTGACACCCTGTGACGGGCACCTCCACGGGTCCCCTCATGCTGAGGAAACTGAGGCCCCACAGTGCAGAAATCTGTGCAGCCCATGCCTGAATCTAGGACAGTTTGGTGCCCACCATGCTGAGCCTTTCCTCCTGCTCCTGTGGAGCTGATCCTCTCCTCTCCGAGAGTCCCTGGCTGTGCTCCCTCGGCCTCCTGAGACACAGCCTGCCGTTCTTGTCCAGTAGCCTCACCCTGCAGCTCTGCCCTGGGGCCAGTGGCAGAGACACTGGGAAGTAGGAAAAGTCACACCACGTGTGGGCTCCTTCCCAAGGCTTGGTGTGAGCCTAGACACCCACTACCCAGGACACATACGCCCAAGTCTTCTGCCTGGACACCTTCTGGGGGACTTCCTGTGATGTCACCAACAACAGGCCTGGTGAGGATTCTGTGGTTTCCTCTTTCCAGGGGACGCATTTGTGAATTTACGCGAGCAGCTACATCGTCACTTTTTTTGTGTTCTCATCTTTCATGTTTACCTCTTGTCATTTTGCTTTCTGGGTATCTTAGCCACTTTTCTCATTGCACAGACAAAAGACCCGACACCAATGCCAAAGGAGAAGAGGTTTACTTTTGCTCAGTGGCTCCCGACTGGGTGGCACAGCGGAGAGGACACAGTCCATGGTGGGCAGGACCCAAGGCAGCAGCCCTCCTTTTCATGTTCTGTGCAGACTGCACACCCCTGCGGCAGGGGTTCTCACACCCAGGAGGGCCTTCTCATTGTCCGCAGCCAGAGCTGCCCAGGCCAGACCGGAGGCGGCCTCCTTCAGTCTCAGCGCCCTGAGTCCCAGCACCACACACTCCAGACCCAGCCACCTGTGGGGAGCCCCACCCATGACCGCTTGAGGCTTTGGGGGACACCTAGACACAAGCTACACCACCGAGAGATTTCCCAACTTTTCCATTTATTTATTGAACCATTCACGTATTTGTTTTTCGAGTGTTGAATATTGAAGGGTGGTGCACATGCTATGCAGGTACGGAGCGACATCTCTGCCCTCTTTTCTTTTTTAAAAATATCTACTACCAGCTTTTTAGATTTCCAAAAACATCTTTGTAGTCCCCTGAATATTACTTTTTGTTACTTCCGGCCCCTTCTTCACAGATGCGATGCTACCTGCTGTCTTGCTGAGGAAGTTAGTAATTAGTTTTGCTTGGTTTTGTTTTGTTTTTTTCTCCCTGTGAAGTCTTTTTCTTTCATGTCACAATTTTTCTTGTTTGATTAGTTTTTGTTGTCCGGGTTGCTTTGTTTGTTTCTCTATCAGTTAGAAATTTTCCTTGGCTGTCAGCCAGCTGCAGCTATACAGCAAGGCCCTAGCTCAAAAAACAAAACAAAACAACTAAGTAACTAAACAGCTGCAGGAGTGGGTTTCCCTCTGCCTCAGAGTCCCCTGCTGGGCAGGCAGCCTATCACCAAGGGTCCCCTTGCCTGCAAGCCTAGCTCCTCCCACTTGGCCTGCCCCACATGACCTGAAAGAGTCTCCCATTCCAATTGTGGATGACAAAGCCCTTGTGCCACCCGCCTCCCTGAGCCGCCTGGGGCTGTGGGGCTGAGGGGCTGAGGACAAACTTGTTCTCCAGGGCACACCCCCCTCCTGCAGGGTGTCCCCTCAGCCTGCAGGTTTCCACTTTCTCCAGAAAATGCCTAGGACTGGGGAGGGCGCTGCCACCTCACCAAGGCCCTGGGAGCTGCTCCCCCGTTTCCCGTCTTAGCTGCTTCTTTGCCTTCCAGCTCCAAAAAGACAGCTGCAGCTTCCTGGATGCCACAGTGTAGGGCTCCGCTCCTGGCTCGCAGGAGGATGTGGTTGCTGCCTGCTCTCCTTATCTTGGTGACATTATGTTGTGCTGTCGTTTTCATCTGTGCTCCAGGGCATTTGTAGAGTCTACTTCAAAACACCTCTAGAGGGGCCGGGGAGATGGCTCAGTGGAATAAGTGCTTCCCTGGCAAGCACAAGGGCCTGAGTTCAATCCCCAGTTCCGGGAAAAAAAAAAAAAAAAAAAAAAAAAAAAACAAAAACCACCTCTAGGGCTGGGAGATGGCTCAGCAGACTAAGACCTGCTTAGGCAAGCGCACCGCCCGGGCTCAATCCCCAGCACCACAGGCCTCGTTGACCCCTCCCCCAGCTGCAATGAGTGGGCCATGGAGACCAGGCGAGGTGGCACACACCTGTAAGCCCAGGAATGGGGAGGCTGAAAACAGGAGGACCATTAGGAGTCCAAGCTGCCTAGTGAGACCCTGTACCAAATACATTAAAGAAATAAAAATTTTTAAAAAATTTAAAAACCTCACCTCTCCATTTATCGCATTTCTTCCCAGTTCAGAAATAAATGTTTAGAATTGAGTCCTTCTTTTTGACCACGTTTGTAAAGCCAAAACCTTTGTACTGCACCCCAAGAGCCAAGGTGTAGGGATACTTGTAGAATAGCAGACGTGTAGACATCTTATTACAGCGAAAGCTAGAAATCAATTCGCGGCCTGACCGCAGGCTCCTGCAGCCCGGCCCGCAGCTCCTTACCGCACTCATTTAGCCTTGCCTGTCTAGGCCCAGGTGCTCCCCCTTAACAGTGCGTGGGCCAAACTGTGTCTGGCTTGTGTTTTAAAAATATGTAGTGATGTCAGGGAGATAGCTCAGGGGCATAAGTGCCTGCTGGATAAGCACAAGCTCCTGAGTTGGGTCCCAGACACTAAATAAATGAACAGCGATTCCAACTTACTTCAAAGACGACAAGGCCATCGCGTTTGAGGAAGACTGCCCAGTCAAGGACACTTTCAACTCTACCTACTCTTCTCAGAACCCCTCCCTCCCATAATGCTCCTGTACAAACCTGCCTGACAACATATGACATAATTCTTGTATTCTACATAACCAATCATGTAATAACGTGCTATCAGTTTTGTACTTCCCCCTTAAGCCCTATTTAAACAACTCAAACCTGACTCTGGTCTACTGATTTGAACCTCTGGGTTCCCCAGCCAGCTAGTGTAATAAAATTGCCTTCTAGCTCCTCGGTGGCCTTCCACTTGGATTGATATTGGTTTTGTGCAACAAAGGCAGGGTCTCTGGACCCTTGGGCTTCTAGTATAAACTGGGGCGACTTCCAAGGAGGCTGCCACACCTTCCCACTCTTTGCTGCCATTGTCCAGATGTTGCTCATCTTCTTCCTCATCCGGGAATTCTTACTCTTCCTGCCCGTCTTCACAGCAGGAGGCCAAGGAGGTCTGGGAAGCCAGCTGTGGAGAAATGAGATGGTGATGAACCGACTTGTTCTTTTTTTGTTTGTTTGTTTTTAATTTTATTTTATTTTTCCCATAATTTTATTGATAAACAAATAGCAATGAGACAGTTTCACATCAAATTGGTAGGACAGTTTCAATAATTAACACATTGCATACATTCTTCCTAGTGGTTAATTGCTGTACAAGATGCGGACATGATATCCTATTTACAAACACCATTAGAACAAATCCCTCTATTCATTAAGAGCATGTAACTATATATCTATCTTAACCACTTTGAATACACAGATACAAAATGGACATTCATCTGTATCCCCTTTTTTTGTTAAGTTCCATTATTTGAATATCATAGGTGTGTAAACTCCCAACTGGTTCTTTAGGTTTCTTTGTCAAATATATCTGATCTTTTGAATTCAGCACACTGTCTTTCTGCTTATGTTGTGCTGGAAACATACAGTGTTAGAGGAAAAGATGCTGGGCTGTCTGCTCAGAATTAGGGGGAAAATAAAACCTTCCTTTACCCTCCTGGAGAGTGTAGGCAGTCTTAAAGGATACCCACGTTTGTCTCAAGATTTTCTCTTCATTAATTTGTCCTCGACTCTGAGAAGAGAAACCAAAAGCTCCTCTGCTTTTTCTCACCCTGGCGCCTCTCTGGGCCTCAGTTTCCCCAACAGGTTTGCCCAGAAAGGGAATTGGACTGGAACTGAAAGTCTGGGGTTCCCTCTGGTTTCTGGGCCACTCTGTGGCAGGACTGCAGACACATAGGAAGGTGCTGGGCACCTAAGAGAGGGTATCTCCCCTTTGTTGACAAGAAAGGCAGGGGCAGGAGGAGAGGCTGAGTTTCCCCAGAACTGGAAGAGAAGGTGGAGCGAGGTCCGAGGCGAGCGCTTACTTCCCAACCTGGACCTCTCAGTTTGTTCGGGGTGACCCTGGCCCAGCACCTGGCTCCCTACAAGCATCTGCAGCCCCTCTGGAATGGTCTGCCATTCTAGAGCTCCCTCTGTAATCCAGGGCATGGAGTGCAGAAGGAGGATCCACAGGACCTTGGAAACTAGAACAAATGTCACTAACGGTACAGACTGATACCTATCACAGAGGGGAGGCGACGTTTCATCCGGGCTCAAGGGGTGGACACACACAAGACTTCCTCTGTGGTGACCAGGGCACCCGCGGGGCCTGCGTCAGCTTCTCCTCTTGGCCCTTCCAAGCCTCTCTTGCTTTGAACATCAAACACAGGGGCAGGTGATGCAGCTCAGCGTTAGCACTTACCTAGGGTGAGTGAGGCCCTGGGTTCTACCTCAGCACCAAAAAGAGGGGGAAGGAAGGAAAGAAGCAAGGAGAAATCAATACAGCAACTCCCCTGCATCCATTTGAGCTCAACCTGCTGCAAAGCTGCCTCTATTCAGTAATTGGCCTGGGGACCCTGACCAGGCCACCTGCTCGAGTCTGTCCTGTGTACTTGGAAGGGCTGCTGTGAGCCTGCGGGCCACACCGGAGGCGCAAAGTCTAGAGCAGACTGCAGACGCCCAATGTGGCAAAGCGCAACCCTTGTGCCAGGGATACAGGGCTCTGGCCTTTAATCCCAGCACTCTGGGAGGCTGAGGCAAGAGGATGGGAAGTTTGAGCACAGTTTGGGTGACTTAGCAATTGAGTGAGACCCTGACTCAAAAGGGGGGTGGCTGGGATATAGCTCAGTGGGAGGGCGTCTGCTTGGCAAACGCGAGGTCCTGGGTTCCATTCCTGATTTTAAAAAAAAAGGTGCGGAATGTAGCTCAGTATGGAGACTCTGGGTTCCAACCCCAGCATACTCCCCGAAACACCCCAAAGAGTAAAAATAGCATCCGCCCTAGCACTGGCTTTAAAGACTAGCAAGTCCTGCCTAGCCACGACAGCGAAGAGAGCAGAGGAGAAAGTTAAGGCTCCCGATCCACAAACACAAGTTCGCCCCAAAATGGGGCGTTCCATGGCAGCCAAGGGAAATCGAGCTGGCTTCTCCAAAGGGCGGTCAGTGGCCATCCCGTGAGACACAGGACTAAGCCCCAGAGGGCAGGGACGGCTCACTCCCACAAGCACCGGGCGCGGAGAGCCGGGAGGAACCAGCCCAGGACGCACGGCGGGGCGGGGAACGGGCGGGGGCGGGGAACGGGCGGGGCGCGGCCCTGCGTGCGTGCGTGCGTGCGTGCGTGCGTGC